CTTCCAAAGTGCTAGAATTATAGGTATGCACCACCATGCCTGGCTCTCCCAATAGTGTTCTTTAAAGTTACATTTGAAAACTATTTTTCTGAGGAGTCCAAAGACTTCTTTAGATTCCCAAAGGCGCTCATGGCACAAAAACTGTTAAGAAGCTCTGAAGTAGTGGAAAGACTCTGAACTGAGTCATAAATCATGTGCTCACCACAAATTCACCTCCACGATCCTCATTTTTCTCAGCAGTGGTAACTCTATAAGGGATCATTGTTCTTATTTGTTATGTTTGGCCATTAGATAAAAATGACTTTTTACCAAGGTTTTAAATGCAGTTTATTGTGAGGAATATTTTTCACCTAATGATTTAGATCATGGTTATGAGCAAAATGAAATGGAAAATTGAGTCAATTCTCTGGGTAATAATTCATGCTAATAGGTTTCTACATTTGTCTGTAACATCCAGATAATCAAAGAAAAAGTGCTTTTAACTTGAATTATCAGCATAGCTATATCACAGTTGTCAACTTTTCTTTGCACAGATTCAAGTGTCAGATGGAAGTTCCTAATGATATGAAGAGGGACAGGGCTTTTTCAAGATAGAGATCTTCCAAATACTTATGCACATTGAGATAGTTCATATCCTCTGGAGACATCCATAGTTCACTGTGCATTGAACATGCACACCACTGATTAGAAACTTTTTCAATTCTATTTGTATTCACAGATCCCTAAGCCAAATGATGTTCTGTACAATACATAGGTCCTAGGACAGTGTTGTCTAGATCAGAGCCCTGGTGGTTTGCCAGCAGGCAGCATTTTAAATAGAAAGGCATGCTTGCCTTTGCCCTATAGTGTACAGACCCTAAGCACTCTATGCACAGCTATGTGCACTAAGTGCTCTTTCAAGGAAATTTATAAACTGTTATGGTTTGGATGTGGTTAGTCTCTCAAGGTTCACATGCTGCAGGCTTGTTCCTAGGGTGATGGTATTAAGAGGTCATGGCATCTCTATAAGGCTGGGCCTGGTGGAAGGAAGCATTGCTTTTGGAAGAGATTAATGCCATCTCAGGGACAGAGTTAGTTCCTTGACAGTGAGTTGTTATAAAAGAGTGAGTGTGACCCCTGAAATGTGTCTAGCTCATCATGATACCATGTGACCTCTCTTGCTCCCTCTACCTCGCTCTCCACCATGTTGTGATGTGAGCAGAGGCCCTCACCAAAGTCAAGTAGATGCAGGTGTTTGCTTGTGAATCTTAAACTATAAGATAACTACAAGAACTCTCACATTCTAGCAATGAGATTAGGACTTCAACATATAAACAGGGGGAAAGAGAGGACACAATTTAATCCATAATACATTAAAGGGCTTGCACTTCTCAAGAAGTGGGGATGATACCCAAAATGCTCTGATGCCAGTGTAACCATTACCGTAGCAGTGCAATTCATCTGTTTTTCTTTCCATTCTTAAAGTAATTTGTTCTAGCAAAGTTTGATGTCTCTAATACTGAGAAGAATGAATACATCCACTGTGGTTTTATCTAAAATGTATTTGAATATCTCACTGTCCTCTATAATGTAAGTTACGTTCTCCACAACAAAAAGGAGCTTTAGTCCAGGAACCCTCGGTTAAAGTGAAGTTGACTTTCTTGTGGATGGGTCAGCCTTAGCCTGTAGTTTCCCATTCTCTCTGGGACACTGTGGTCCTGCTTATGGAATTCATGCTCTGAGAATATGTCCAAAGCAGGGGAATATTCTCTCAGATCAATCTTTCATTGAAATAAGTTGAAGAAATATGTTTAGCCTGGATCTAAATTCCAATTCAAAGTTAAGAAAGAACTTCCCCTTTATTAGTACTTCTCCCCAATTTTTATTGAAGATTTCCATATGCATAGTGTTAAACCTTCATAGTGTTAAAGTTCTTTCAGTCTTAGAACTAAAAGGGCTTCTGTTCCTCCTCTTACCTCCTTGTCCCCAGTTATTGCTACCAAGAAACCACCACTCAAGACACAATTTGGTCTTTCTTTGGGGATTTACCTAGGTATTTCCAAACAGTCCTAGAACTCTAGGTACCTCCTTAGATGATGTCTTTGGTTATCATCTTTTACTGACCTCCTACTCGGTATGATGAACCTTGCGTTCTCCTATATCCTTCCTATTCTCCTTTTGTTCTGTCATCTTCCTAACATAGTTTGTGTTTGTCAGCTTTCTGTCACTAAAACAAAATACCCCAAATAATTAATTTATAAGCCAGTCATGAATTTGGCTTATGTTTTAGAGATTTCAGCCCTTGATCTTAGGTCTGTGGTGAAACAGTACACTGTGGCAGGAACATATGGTGGGAAAAGCTGCCCACTGTATTGGCTAAGAAGAACGAGGAGAGGGCTGGCGCCCCACAGTCCCCTGAAAGGGCACAGCCACAGTGAGCCCAACCTCCATTGGGCCGCATCTTGTGAAGTTTTCACACAGCCAATAGCTATCCTGAGGACACAGCTTTAACATGTGGGCCTTCAGGGGATACTTAGGATCTAAAACACAGCAGAGTTCTAACATGATTTCAATTACGTGAATGTTCAGTGTGTGGATTCTTAACAGGATGTAAATATTTTTCATAACTAGATATGTAGTGAATGAGCATTATATTTTCTTTTGTTTTTATGAAAAAAATTTAGGAGTGATTAATGATTGTCAGTTTTTTGTGCACTTAATTTTCTATGTCTATTATTAATTTGCCTCAAATCTTAAGGTATGAGTACAGATCTTTCAATATATTCAAACATAGTCAGTCTCTCTCACAGACACACATAGACACACACACACACACATTTTCTCCCTTCTGGAGTCCTCTCTCTTGCTGGCTGTCTAGTTGTGCTGCATGCAGCTATCATTTTGGATCTTTCATGATCATCATTCTAGAATTCACTTTATCTCATTCCTGTAATCAACCTCCTATCTCTTATTTCTTGGATCCCATATATTCCTCTTTCCTAATTTACCTCCTCTTGATGGATCACAGCTTTTAGTAGCTTCCCTAAGCAAAGTCTTGTAGGGGGTAAACTTTCTGAGGCTTTGTTTGCCAGTTATCAATTTGTTGTCCCTCTGCTCTGCTGTCTTTCTTTATGACACTGGAGCTAGATCCTGCCAAAGTTTCTCCTTTTCCCACTGAGCAGTGGTAGGTTTTCTTAGTGGAGGGCTCTGGAAGGACAATACAGAGAAAAGGGCTTCTGTTCCTACTTGCCTTGTGCAGCTGATGATAGGTGTGCGGGGGATCAGTAGCACTTACTCTCCAGTAAGTTCTGCTGTGGCTTTCATAGGTACTGAGCTGGGAATAATAGGGAAACTCACATTACTTCATTCAGCATATTCTCTTGAATTATGTCTTTAATAACATCCTCCCATTCATTTTCTATACTCATTCTTTCTGGAATGCCTATTATGTATGGATATCAAACTGCCTACACAGATACTCTAATTTTCTCTCCCATTTCCATCTCTTTTTTTTTCCCTTATAAGATTAATTTAACTGTACTTCACAAGATTTTTCTGGTTCCATGTATGTGATAGCTAATCTTGGTTATCAGTTTGATTTGTTTGAGATATGGCCAAAAGATTAGTAATACTCACTTCTTGGTGTGTCTCTATGGGTCACAGGGGCATGATCCAAGGGACTGTTTTTGATACCTGGCCTCTTCCTTGCTAACTTTGCTTCCTGGTTGTCATGAGAACAGCAGCTTCCTTTCCTTCCACCATTCCACCATGATGTTTCTGCTTGGGAGCCAGCCAACTATGGGCTGAAACTTGTGAAGCCACTGGCCAAGATAAACCTTTTCTCCTCTAACTTGTATATGTCAGGTATTTGGAACCAGCAACAAAAAACTCATACAAAAGTTGATACCTAGATATACGGTGAGTACCTGAGCATGTGGTTCAGAAGCCTTTGGAACTGGTTTGAGGGAGGAGTCTGGAAAGGCTTGGAGATGTGGGCTACAGAAGCTCTGGAATACTGTAAACAATGCCTGATGGATGATTCTGGCCAGAGCTCAGAAGAACAGAATTCCAATAGGAATAAAGATGTAAAAACAAGGGGGGATTTCAAATGGAAATTAAGACTGTTGGGATTGGAATAGAGGTCATTTGTGTTACATTCTGGCAAAGAACTTGTCTACATTTTGCCCATGTTCTGAGACTTTGTGGGAAGCTGAGTTTAGAGGTGGTGGGCCAATTAATTGGATGGATAAAATTTCAAGATAGCCCAGTGTTCAGGCTGTGGCATGAATACTACTGGCTGCTTTGAGCTGGATTTATAATAAGAATTGGGACCAAAAGGCAGAGCAGAAAGATTTGAAAAACTTGAAGTTTGGCCAGAAATGAAGCATTTGTAAAGCTGGGGCCAAGTATGGTTGCTGAAGAAACTGATGCTGTTAAAAAGAAACCAAAGGTAGGTATGGTAGTGCTTGCTTGTCATGCTACCACTCTGGGAAACTAAAGCAGGGAGATGACAAGTTTGAACCCATTCTGGGCAACTTAACCACGTAGCAAGGCCCAGCCTCAAAATAAAAATAAAAGTGGCTGGGGAGGTAGTTCAGTATGAAGGCCCTGGGCTCAATTCCCAGTTCTTGCGGGGTTGGGCAGGAGATGCCAAATACTTCAAATATTTTACACTGGGACAGTAAGAAAGATGTCCTGATGCAACTTGAGCAGAAACAGCAAAATAACACCCAGGATTTGGAGGCAGATTTATTTAATGTTGGATGGGCACTGACAGGGAACCAACTGTCCCTCAAAGTGTAAGCTTTCAAAGGCTCAAGGAGGGAAGTTTTTATGGGGTCTGCAAGGGGAAGTACAAAGGCAGAGTACTTGACTGTCTTTGATTGGTTTTTACACTATGTATCACAGTGACCAGGTATGCATCACAGTGACTAGCTATACATCACAGTGACCAGCCATTTCTAAGAAACAAAAGTAACAGGAACTGTAACCAGAACTATTACCTGGGCAACTAACAGACTGGCTGGAGTGCATTTTCTGCTATGCTGAGGGCATTTCAGGAACTGGCCAGATCTCATCCATCAGCAGGCTCAGAAGTATAAAAATGTAAGCTCTTTTGAAAGTCTTTCACTTGAGAGAGTGTTTCTATGTGTTTCCCGTCCATGCACTTCCTCTCTGGCTCTTCCTTGCTCACTCTGCTTCCTGTCTGCCATGAGGTGAGCAGCTTTCTTCTGCCTGGCCCTTCTCTCATGATGTCTGTCAGAGCCAGCTGACTATGAACTGAAACCTCTGAAACTGTGAACCAAAATAAACCTTTCCTTCTTTAAGGAAAGGTGTTAGGTGTTTCATCCCAACCACAAAAATTGTCTAGTACAGTGAATATGTTTAAAAGTGAGGTGCAGAGAAGCTGGATGGAGCCTTTGTGAGAGGCAGAAGATTTTGTCCCCATGGTGACAATCATGATGCCTTCAGTGAATATCTGAGTCTTCTCAGAGAAAAGTCTTCCAGTCTATGTAGGGGTGAGATAGGAAGACAGCTTGGCTAGACTGGCTGGGAATGAAGGCATGACCAGATCCCAGGACACATATGCAAAACAGTTCTCAGAACCCCAATGTGCACTTCTTGAGAATCCATGATGTGTGAAATGAATAAAAAGGTGGGACACCATGAAGAACTTGCCAGCGTCCCACTCCATCTTAGCCCCCCATGTTATTTTCCCTATTTCTTTTATTTTTACTTTTACTCAGCCCAAACTCACTCTGCAGAGCCAGTTCCCTTACCCTCTATTTTTAATTTTCCCTCTTTAGTTTTCCTACCTCAAATAAATGTGAAACTTTGCCACCGTTTTTGCTTGTTTTCTTCATCTTTGTTTCAGATGGAAAGAACACAGAAGCCACCTTCAGAAGGAGACTCCAGCACCCTGAAACATGGTGACATATTTGGCTTATCCAGCCAGGACAGCAGGTAAGACCCTGTGGGAACGTTTTTTTGTTTCTCTCTAAAATTCTGTAAAGGTTTATTTCCTTCTTCTGCCCTGACTCCTCTAGCCTGGGAACCTTCCCAGGAGGCTTTTTGTCATGGTGCCGGGAAGAGCTTCCTAGTGTGGCCCACATGTGGGATGGGGAAGGGAACACATGGCTTTTATGTTTTTCTTCTCACCACAACAGACCTAAGTTTACCTCCCCTTACTTTTTATTACTTCCGCTCACTCTGCAGGCTTGGTATGTACTGTTGTCTATGCATTTGTTCCCATATTTTGCTACCCTTTCTGGAAATTAGCCAGGTCTCTGCCTACTGCAGTTTGTAAATGCCTTTAGGCTTTCTCGGAGTGCTGTTTTGGTTCAGGGTGTCAGTTTGCCTTGTCACATGGCTAGAAGCTGTTTAGAATCTACACCCCCCCCTTTATTCTCTCTTTTTTTTACCAACTGGTCTTGCAAAACCTCACCCTTATAGATGGAGCTAAGCCTCTGATTTTAGAGAAGGTGTGGCCTTTCTCCCTCTTTTCCTCTGAACTATTTTAACAGGTCCGGTATCTTCCTGTATAGGAGGAGAAAACTTTGTCCACCTTAAAACTCCCGCCCTTCTGCCTACATCAGCCAGTGGCAGCCAAGTAGGCACTAGCTGACTCGAAGCCCTCTGGATCCTAAAGCCTGCCTAGAGCTACCACTTTTTGGCCTCCTTTCTTTGTTTCTTCTAACGAAATGCAGGTAATTTAGAAACATATGCCTGACAGCCTGAGAAGAACAAATGAACAGTGTTTAAAACTTAACTAGAGTGACTGAGTATACAAAAGTAGAGCCCTCCTTATTTTTAAAACTTTTTAATGTTTCTGCTTAAAACATAAAGGTGGAGTGCCATCTCTTCTGTTCAGGTATTTATGACCCTTTCTCAGGGAATTCTCAGAAACTATGGTACTTAGAGCGGCCCCTGAGGAAAAGGAAGAGATCCTGGATGACCAGCATCCTGTCCTGGGACCACCACCTGTCTCTCAGGGGGATGTGGGTCTCTCTGATCTGTTTGATAAAGACAACCACACTGGGAGGTCTCTTTGTCCTCCTCCTCAGAGCCCTAAGCCAGGTCTCTTTGTCCTCCTCCTCAGAGCCCCAAGCCAGTCCATCTCCTCCAAGTGACTAGGAACCCAAGTGGACCTCAGTGCTCCAAAGGAACCCAGCATTTTTCAGCCCCTCATCATGTGCCTCAAGCAGCCCTAAGTCCCACTGGGTACACAGAGACAGGTTAAAGCCCCACAGGTCAATCCCAAAGTGGTGCCTTCTACTCCTCTAATTCACAACTTGTCCTGCCCCTAAGAGAGGTCGCAGGGTAGAGAGGAATATGCAAGTTCAGGTCCCTTTTTCAGTGCAGATGTCCAGCAGATGACCAATGAGGCCAACTGTCAGAGGACTCCAGTAAGTTTGAAGATGGTTTCAAACTTTGACCCTTGATTTTGAGTCATCATGGTGAATATCCAATTCATCTTGGCCACTTGCTGTACACCATATGGGAGATAAAGAATCCTACAAGAGCTAGGAACTGTACAAATGAGCAGTATAATTTAAAAAAGGAAGGAAACCGCCCCGAAGAGGCTATTCTCTCTTCAACTGAGCCAACCTGGGACTCTAATACTAGTGAGGGACTGAAAATAGCTGATGTGCTGGGTGCTCTTACCATGGGGATGGAAAGGTGTATTAAACCTGTTAACTATGATAAGGTGAACAGGGTCACATAGGGAACAGAGGAAAATCCAGCTGTTTTCTGTAACTGATTAGAAGTCTTTCATAAATATACTAATATAGATCCATCTTCCAGCAAGGGAGAGGCACTAATGAGACATCACTTCACTTGTAAGTCAGCCCCAGATATTTAGCATAAAGCACAAAACCCCAGATGGCTCACAGACACCTACGGCCCAATTGCTGAACATGACCTTTTCTGTGTTCATCATGCAGGACCCAGAGGAGGGACAAAAGAGAAAAGCTAAGATTATAGCTGCTGCAACTGGCAATGCTGTAAGCTCATGCAAACTGTCGAAGTGAAAACCCAGGACAACTGAGGAAAGGGTTCCTGTTTCAAGTATAAGAAGACTGGACACTGGGCATGAGATTACACCAAACCTCTGCCTGGGTCCAGCTCCACATATGAGGCAGCTCATGCACCTGACTCATGGCATTGGAGGCTTGACTGTCCCCACTCCCAGAGGGGGCCAGGCCAGCCAAAATCCTCACTTCTTGTTGTGATGACTGACGAGGCCCTAGGGAGCCTGCAATGCCCCTGTCCATGGACATTGCCATCTCCTCCGAGGAACCCTGGGTAATCTTAGATGTCATGGGCAAGCCAACTGCTTATCAGTACAGGGGAAGCTCATTGAATTTTGATTTCCTTTTCTGGAAAGCCCTCCTCTAAGCCTATAGGTATAGCTTTGGTCAAGAGGACCCCTAACTAGAGATTCTTTACTCTTCCTTTGATGGGTCACTCTGAAGGCCAGATGTTTAACCTTGAGTTTCTAATGTTCCATAGTGTCCTACTCCCTTGCTAGGAAGAGATTTACTAGCAAAATTGGGGGCAATTTTCAAATTCTGGCTATGGCTAAGGTGGATTTTACCTGCTGGGACTACCCCAGGTCTCCCTGATCAAATTAGCTAACAGGTGGATCCTGCTGCATGATACCATGGAATACCTGGACAGACACATTTACCTATGCCAGAAGTTATAAAACTAAAAGACCCCAGCTGGTTTCCTAACCAAAAGCAGTATCCAATCAAAGAAGAGCCAGGTAAAGGCCTCCAGTCTTTCATAGACAGGTTTCTCAAACATGATGTTCTGAAGCCTTGGAAATCCTCTTGCAATATTCCTATTCTCTTGTAGTAAAGCCCTCAGGAGAATATAGGATAGTACAAGACCTCTGCCTCATTAACAAGGCTGTTGTTCTGATCCATCATCTAGTGGCAGATTCACATACAATTCTCTCCCAAATTCTAGGGAACACTAATTGGTTCTCAGTCTTGGATTTAACAGATGAATTCTTCTCCATCCCCCTATATCCAAACTCTCAGTTTTTGTTTGTCTTTGAATGGGAAAACCCCATTTCAAAAGAAAAGCACCAACATAGTAGGACAGTTCTCCCACAGGGTTTAGAAACAGCCCTCGCCTTTTCACTCAGGCACTAGAGAAAGACTTGAGGAACCTAAAGCTTAATCAGGGAATTATCCTACAATATGTGGATGATATTTTAGTTTGTAGCCCAACTTGTGAGTTATCCAACTATAACACTATACAGACTGTCAGCTTTCTAGCTAAGAAGGGTTATAAATTCTTCCCCCCACCAAAAGAAAAAGGTTCAGATAGCCCTTCAAAAAGTTCAGTATTTGAGATATGTTCTTATACTGAGAGAATCACAGCTGTCTAGGGACCAGATCCAGGCTCTCTAATCTTGGACCTCCTGCCACCAAACAATAGCTTTGTTCCTTCCTGGGAATGGTAGGCTTGTGTAGGGTCTGGCTACCTAATTTTGAACTAATGGCAAAGCCTTTATATCGGGCTATAAAGACCCTGAGTCTGTGCCCCTAGAATGGACAAAAATGACTGACAATGCCTTTAGGAAAATAAAACATGCCCTTACTTAGGCTCCAGCACTGGGAATCCCTGACTTAAGAAAACCTTCTTGGGCCAGGGGTATACTCAGTAACACAGTGCCTGCCTGACAAGCACAAGGTCCTGACTTTGATTCCTTGTACAAAAAAGAAAGAAAGAAAGAAAACCCTTCTTCCTCTCTGTAACGGAAAAAAGAGAAATTGCTTTGGGGGGCCTTAATCCAAAGACTAGGACAAGAACCCCACCTGTGGCATACTTTAAGAAAAAAAAGTTAGATGGAGTAGCTGCTGCAAGGCCACCCTGCCTGAGAGCAGTAGCAGCTAGAGCTGTGCTAACAGAAGAAGCTGCAAGGGGCTGGGGATTTAGCTCAGCGGCAAAAGCGCCTGCCTGGTAAGCGCAAGGTCATGAGTTCAGTTCCTGGTACCTGAGAAAAACCAAAGGAAAAAAAAAAAAAAGAAGAAGAAGCTGCAAGGTTAACTTAGGGGAGAGGTTAAAAGTCTTGACTCCCAATTATGAGGTCAGAGCTATTCTGGAGACAAAAGATTACTTGTGGTTAACAGGGAAACTATTACCAAGTCTCAAGTCATGCTGTTAGACACACTTAAGTTTACTATTAAAAAATTGCACTACTCTTTATCCTGCCTCTTTGATGCCTACAGGCCCAGAAGTTTGCCACTTTTGTGAATAAGTAGTCTCCCAGACCTATGCAAGCAACCACGGCATCATTGACCTCCCTTTCAAGATCTTGAGGAGGTGGGGTTCACTGTTGGAAGTACTTTTGTCTAGGAAGAACATCAAAGGGCAAGTTACACAATTGTCAGTTCACAATGTGTCATTGAAGTTAGGCCTCTTCTTCCAGGAATCTCTGCTCAGAAGGCAGAGCTAATAGCTCTTACTTGGGCATTGATATTAGGAAAAGGAGGACTAGCCATTAGACTTTACCCACATGCTACCATGTGGAGGATTTAAATAGGTGTTGGTACTAATTGACACCTTTACAGGCTGGCCTGAAGATTTCTCTGCCCCTTCAGAAAAGGCTATGGAGGTAGTCACACTCCTTCTTAAAGAAATCATCCCCAGATTTGGACTACCATCTCCAGAGTGACAGTAGGCCTTCTTTTACCTCTCAAATAACCCAGGAAGTGGCAAAAGCTTTAGGAATAAAGTACTATCTCCATTCCACCTGGTGACCTCAATCACTGGAAAGTCAAGAGATGTCTGAGTCCTGTCCAATTGCTACCAGTAACACTCCTGAGGGTTCATTACATGCCCCAAACTGGGCTAAGTTTGAGTTCATTGGAGATGTTATATGGGAGGCTATGTCTATTATCTGATATAATAGTAGACCCAGAGACCATGAGATTCTTACAATACCCTATCAATATCGGCCAAGTACAATAGGCTGTCCAAATGTATGGAAACAGTCCTGCTAGCTCCTGCTTCAAGGGGACTGCCTAATGTCTGCCCTGAAGACCAAGTAAGTGCTCATAAAAACTTGGAGAGAAGGGACATGGGACATCTTCTGACCAGTTAAAGCCAAAGTGGAAGGGCCCCTTTTCAATGATCCTTATCACACTAACTGTAGTAAAAGTGGCAGAGATAGACAATTGGATTCATCTTTCTAGACTAAAGCTATTCCCACTTGATATGTCTGAAGAACAAGACCACCCACAAGGAAAAAGCTACTTCTTCCTCTGGAAGACTTGAGATTTCTCTTCAAAAAGCAAGACTCCACTGCTGCTAAAGATAAACAAACAAGATCTTGCTAAGCTCATGGTTCTCAGACTCTTGATAATTTACCAGACATTCCTTTCTGACATACATTCTCCTCTATAGGAAGTGTGGAAGTCTGCCCTGCTCCTCATATTTGGGCTAATAGAAAAGTTTCTTTCTCTCATCAAATAGGCAATGCAATGGTCACTAACTCTTTTCTTATTGTCTTCCTGACAGGTTGTTTTCTTCAGTTCAACTAGTGAGCTACAACACCCCAAAGTAGTTGGCACATAATCCCCAGTAGGTAGGGTCTGTGGCCACTTGTGACTTGAAGAAGCTATTGAAAACTGACACTTCTGCTCCCTCTGCAGCCCATAAAGAATTATGGGGATTCTCAGGGAGAAATGAAATAGGAGATAGGGCGTGGCTTAGACTGGAGGGGAAGGGAAGTGTGACCAAACCCCAGGACATATGAGCGAATTAATACCCAGGACCCATATGTGGACTCCTCCCAAGAACTCGCAGTGTGTGGGATGAATAAGAGGACAGCACGAGGAGCTCACTAACATGCCATACCTTATACTTTCTAGGGTGTACTTTTATTTCTCCTATTTTATTTTTATTTTTACTCCACTCACACTTGCTCTGCAGAGCCAGTTTTTCCCTTACCTTCCACTTTTGACTTTTCCTCTTTAATTTTCCTATCAAAAATGTGAAACTTTGCCACTATTTTTTGCTTGTTTCATTCAGTTCTTTGTCTGAGATGGCTTCTAGTCTTTAGGGCTGATTATTTTCCAGCTAGGTCTTATTTTGGGGGAAATAAGGTAGGAAAAATTTCTCCTACTAGGCTTATTGGGTAGGTCTAGAAGGAAATGCTACATCTTTCAAATGCCAAATTTACTACTGGGAGAATAGAAAATTTGAAGCAAGATATCCTCCATTAACATAGACTCTTAAGACTGTAAGCATCAACACTTCAGTAAGTTAGAAATCCACTGAGTTAATAGATAAAAATTATAATCAAGATTGCCAGAATTAAAAAGAATCTGCACATTTTACAACCATGTGTTGATTGATGTGGATGGAATAGACAAACTATCCCACACCTTAAAAGATAAAGTTAGAAAGAACATGACAAGTCCTTGGTATCAGTTTACAATTGAAATTATTTACAGGGGAGAAAATAAATTCTTTCTCAACATTCTTCATGTTTGGAGAATTCATATCTGTTGTGGTTTCTGTTTTGAAGGAAAGGGAGAAGGGGTTCTGCAGAGGGGAATAGAGGGGAGAGGTGATGAGCTCTAGCAGACACCTGCTTGATTCCTAGGTTTACTCAGCAACTTTAGTTGACCACTTGCAACCTGCGGGTATCACCTCACATGTGCCAGTAGTCTAATTTTAAATTCTTTAGTTCGTGTACTGAAAATAGCTTTTGTCTTTTTACATTTGTAACAGTACAAAAGCCTTAAAAAATTTTAAACCAATATAGTTTACAATTCTCTAGAAGTGTCACATTCTCTTTATCACTGAGCCAATATCTCTCATTGCCTCAGAGACATAGCAGACACTGCCTAGAACAACAAATTTTTGCTCAGTTCTATCAAAATTCTCTTTGTTTTTCCCATCCTAAATGAGAGAACAGTCTTAAAAGCCAGACTTTATTGGGAGAGAAAATGTCAAACCTTCCCATCACTTACCAAACCAAATTTTGGCAGAACACAAATTCTGCCCAGGGAACCTGAGATTATAAGACAAAGTGACACCTCCCTGCCTAGAGAGAAAGTGGGTGACTTTCCAGCTGAAGAGTGCAGTGGGAGGCAATGGGAAGATTCAGGAAGTGAAAGACTAGGGTGAAGGCACCCCAAGACCCCTGAGAAGAGACTGAGCAAGTACAGTCCCCTTCTTGGCTAAAGAGATAAGTGCAAGAGCACAGAAAACCCCCGAGGAATTCCACATGACATGGGCAGACTCCGACAACATCCAGGGCTGCTCTTTGAGTTGTAAAGGGTAAAACTCAATCACTTCACAGCTAAGAGAAATAAGGAATGCCACTTCCAAATGAGTGGCACCTTACAGTTTTGTCTTCTACTCAAAAACTGCTATTTTAAATGACAGTTAATTATTTGTAAAACTTTTGAGGCTCCAGCCTCATGGAGGCATGCTGCATGGATTATCTCTTGATTTTCATAGTCATGTTATGAGAGACACGTATCTCAGAGCAGCAGTGGAGCATCAAGGAAGGTGCTCACTTGCTCACGAGGACCTGTGACTGTGTGGAGCCAGGACAGGAATGGGGATCTGGCTGAGCTCTGGGTGCCTCTGAAGGGCAGTCTGTCCCTGATCCTCCCTGCTTCTCTTCTGTGCTTTCTCTGATGCTTTTTTCTGTCCTCATCCTCTCCCCAAGAGAAAGAGTAAACTCTGTGACTACTCCTTTATACCCCTTCCGAGAGACTCCTTCACACTAAACTGTTACCTCACATGAGTGAATTTTATAATTTTCATAAATCCCCAAGTGTACAACTCAATGACTTTCACTAATTTTCTGAGTTGTACAACCATCTCCTTAATCCAATTTTAGAATATTTTCATCACCTTTATGCTCACTTACAGCATGTCCCTGTCCCCACCCTCAGCCCCAGACTACCATTATTGTTAAGATACTGCGTAAAAATGAAATAGAATATTATGTGATATTTTGTATTTGGCTTCTTTCACTTAGCATAATATTTGTGAGATGTTCTAGCATGAACTGAAGTTCATTTTTTATATTGCTGAATACTGATTCCAGTGTGAAGATAAACAGTGGATTTGGTTTATCCACTTACTATTTGATCAACATTTGGATTATTCCCACTTTTGGCTATTATGAATAAAGGCTGCTATAAACATTCACATACTCAGTCTCTGTGTGGACATGTTTTCATTTTCTTGAATAGACATCTAGGAGAAAATTTGCTGGGTGACTTTATATTTAATTTTTTTGTGGTACTAGGTCTTTCTACTAAGCTACATTTTCAGTCCCTTTTTAAGTTTTTTGTTTTTTTAAATACAGGATCTCGCCAAGTTGCTAAATTTCCCTGGCTGTGTTCAAACTTGTGATCCTCCTGCCTCTGTCTCCCAGAGTGCTAGGATCACAGACCTGTGCCTTAGAAAGCAATCCCTTATATATATACTTTTTAAAGAAAGTCAGTGGCGAGATTTATAAAGGAGGCATGGTGGGCCCTTGCTGAAATGGACTTTTCATTCTTTTTTTTTTGGTACCGGGAATCAGACTCAGGACCTTGCTCTTCCCAGGCAGGCACTTGTGCTGCTGAGCTATGTCCCCAGGCCTAGACTCCTCATTCTTTAAGGGTGACTTACAGAGCATCTCTGGTCTTCACAGAAAACATGGCAATGCTGTCTGTACTAGAGTCACTTTGCGGGGGCAGGGATTGGAGAAAGTGCTTCAGACCAAGTCCTGTTTGGAGGGAATGGAGGAGACTTTTACAGGGTCCATGAGGTATCTGCCAAGGTATCATCTCCAAACTGCCCACTTACTAGTTGAATTCAGTCTGCATGTAAGTAGTGTTGGCCTCCCCAGAAACATTTGGGTTTAAAGGCTGGATTTGAATGTTTGTAGGTTGGTCATGCATTCCTCATTCTGCCCACATTTCCCACAACTCCCTATTGACCAACCTAAGAAC